TACTACTACTACTAGTAGTACTACGACGACGACTACTACTACGACTACTACTGCCTCACTGCTACTGCTACTGCTACTGCTACTGCTACTGCTACTACTACTACTACTACTACTACTACTACTACTACTACGACCACTACGACTACGACTACGACTACTACTACTACTAGTACTACGACGACGACTACTACTACGACTACTACTGCCTCACTGCTACTACTACTACTACTACTACTACTGCTACTACTACTACTACTACTACTACTACTACTACTACTACACCCCCCCCCCCCCTACCAACTACCTCTCCAAGCACTGTTTAAGCGCACAGCGCACATTCAATTTTACTCGGTATTTACAGTACTTTCGTGATGTCGTAGTCCAATACCAACAGGGGTGGGTGGGGCGGGGCGGGGGGGCATGACGACGTACTTTTCAAGAGCATATCCACTTTTGCTCGGTATGTACGGTACTTTCGTGATGTTGTAGTCAATGTCAACGATGATGATGCTGGGTTCATGCGCCAGCTATTTGGTAGGGGTGGCTACTACAGTACTACCTCAGCACCATGACCACCGACAACACCCAACACCCCTACCACCGCCGCTACATAAACACTGTGAGCAGGAAATCCCGATTGGTACATACTCGGAAGCCTAGGTTAGTGACTGTTAGTCGTCTCAGGCTTAAGCTCAGTCTTTGGGCTTGGGGCAATATCAGAAGTAATGTGGGGTGCTGTTGAATCCTCCTAGGCCAGGATTCTGAATACACCGGGGTCCAGAACCAGTTGGGGCGGTGAGAATTCAGGGGCACTGTTCGTAGGGGCAGACAGTATTCAAGGCGAAGTCAGACTAGAGCCCTTAGACTCACTAGACACCTTCAAGCTTGAATCCGCAAAGGGAACCCTTGAAACGGATCGGAACCCTTAGTGGGATCCTTCTAGGAACCCTTAAAGTAGAGGGACCCTTGCAGAACTTTTATAGAAACGAGCATTTACTAATAGTTACAGGAACTGTAAGTAGGGACCCATGCAGAACCTTTATAGGAACCCTTATAGGAGCACTTACAGGAACTGAACCATCATCCCCGGGCAGACGAAGCCTTCGCGGGACGCTTCCATGGTTGCTGCTGGTCTCGGAATGTTCATCCGCCGTCGCGGGCCTGGACATCCCGGGCCTCGACACACCAGGGAACTTAAGATTTGCGGGATTATGGGGGGTTGGGCTTACGTTATTCATCACATTCTTGCCCACAGACATAGCCAAAGCTACTCGGATCATGGTCATATTAGAGCTATATTGCGTAAGTCGTAAGTATTTACGAGTACCACTTTGGGTTCAGCCTTTCCTTCCGGAATTACCTAGCAACCCTGAGTCCTTAAGGCGAGCCTGGTAATCCTTAAAGGGATTCCTCTAGCCAGGAACATAGGGCTTAGGGTTTAGTGGTTTAGGGTTTAGGGTTTTGGGTACATATACTAATATCTCGACATACTGACTTGCTCGTGAATGACGTGCCCGGATTTGCTTTTCAACTCAGTGCCATCCTCGTTCTGGGTGCGACCACTGCTTCCCAGCACCACTGATCGCCCATTTGACTATGGATTGCTGGTTTCGATGCTGGTTTTGTGTTTATGGCGGATCCTCCATAAACCGAGCTATCATCCGTAATATCGAAGCGTGTCAGTCTATGCCAAACTGACAGAAACTGCATCCATCATTGCTTAGCTGCCGATAGAAATCAGTTCTTGGTTGAACAAGGGCGACAAACCTGAGACTTTACATGCACAACTCTGGCCACAGTAGATCAACGATAACCTTGACCCCCTTCCTGGGCCCGTCGCCTTCATCAAAGTGGCTCCGGAAGTCTTTTCGTCTTATGTAAAATTCGAAGTTCAATCCTGGCACCGCAGCGGCTGCCTCTGTTTCGATGCAGTGGCGGAAACTGCTGAAGCGTCCTCATCGCCAGTCAGCCTAAGCCCATGCAGTGCAAGGAGGGCACAAAACAGAGTGGAAGTGCTTCCTGGCCAAGGCTGCGATAGGCACACCAAACAAACACCGTCGTCACCCACTAGCACCACCAACACCACTGCAAAACGGCAATAGCAGCAGCAGCAGCAGCAGCAGCGGCGTTCGACAAGAAGCGGAGTGTCCGTAATCAATAACAGCTGCTATGTTGTATTGATATATGAAGAAGGGACGACACACAACCGCAATGCTAGAACGACAAAGAATAACAGTACTGTCACACCATCGCAACACTGCTCATAGCAATACCGGAAGAGCCTGCTTGATTCGTTGATCGCCAATCGGTTGCGGTTGCGTCCATCTTGCGAATCTTGCAGAATCGGACCATGTCAACATCGTTTCGTGAGGAGGGGTTCGGCCAACCCTCGAACAGACGAGGCACACAGGCTGCGAGACAGGCGGCTTGATGGTGCGGGCCGCCTCTTGCACACCTGTGAGTGTTCAGGGCTGTCGGCCCCGGACAAAAGCATGCAGTGGTGCTCGAAGCTGTTCAGCAAGATGCGTCGCAATCTCTGCAAGTACGGTGCGGATTTGTGAGTCAGGCTACACTCTCGAACATGACATTCTTCGAATTTCCGACTTCAGCGTATACAGGGCGGCGTTCCCAGGATGCCCAAATGAAATCCCTCGAAACACCCGAAACCCGCAACCCTGTAAACATCTAAAGCCCTAAAGGCATAACCCGACACCACTCCTAAACCCGTTTCACGTAGGCCCCAAAGACTATCAACTTGTAAGGGCTCCAGGGCATTAGGGGTTAACGGTTTAGGGCTTGAGGGTTTCCACTGTTTAGGATTGCGAGAGCTGCTTGGAGGTTCCCTTTTTGCAACAGGCTTTCCACTTCGCCCGGAGTTGGAGCAAGCAGCCCTAGCAGCTTTTTACCTCGGAGGTTCCCTAAACCCTAAACCCTAAACCCGCCAAAGGGCTCTCACCATAGAGCTGACTCTGCTCGAGTAGGACGTCGATGGCAGATTTCCGGGTCTCCCCCTGGCAACCAACCACAGTGAAGGCGCAGGCACTCCCCCCTGAACCCTAAACCCTAAACCCCTTAGCATGACACCTCTAGCGGCCTGCTGGGCTGTTTTCTGCAAAACCCGTACCGGCCTGATTGTTCAAGTCTTCTGGAGACGGCCTGAGTTCCAACCAGGCTCGGCGAGGCTGTCGTGCATGGTTATGCTTTGCGGAGGTCTAAGGTGCCGTGGGTAACACCACATCTCACCTAAAGCACATCACCGCCCATACGTGGCCGAGGTGCCACGGCTCCCGGTGCGGAGGCTTCAGCTGGCGCTCCTGTCGAAGCCAGGCTCTGCTTCCGGCATGCAGTTACTATAGGGGCCTTAATATTTAGAATGGGGTTTTGGGGCCCATTATACTATAATTACTAGAAGGAACCCCCAAAATAGTATAATTATACTATAATTATAATAAGAAACCCCCAAAATAGTATAGGTAATTCTTTGGGCCTCTATATTACTCTCGGCCTCCGGGTGCGCCCAGATGTTGGTTCCATCAACTGCATCTCTAGGGTCCTCGCGTCGATTCCAGCTTCGGATCATTTGTTAGGGCCTTGGGGCTTATAGGGCCTTGGGGTTTAGGGCTTAGGGGGCTTCCAACAACAGTGGATTATGAAGACTGTGGGATCCCTCCAAACACGAAGTCACCACGAATGAAAGACCTCATGAAGGCGTACCTCGGCGCACCTGAATGCCGAGCTCGTTTGGCTAAGGATTGAGATTTATCCGAGCTTAAGAAGGACATCTGTGCGGATGCTTCGTTAAAGTGACTGTGAGCTGCTGCTGCCAAGCAGGATTGCGGGCTGCGCGGCTACAATCTGATCCGTCACTCTCAAGCCTTACCCGCGCAGCTTTGCAGTCCTTTTTCTCCGTCTTGAGACTACCTGCGGCAAGAAGTGAACGATGCCATAGGTGTTAAGGCTTCTGCGGCTGCGGCTACTCCTACGACGACGACTATACCGATTGTGGGACTTGTACACATGTCCAAAACCATATCATCGGTCGGGGCCAAAACCCTAAACCCTAAACCGTGGATGCAATCTCACAGACTTTCAAAATTCTGCTGTCCGAAACCGCTCAAAGGCCTGCCATCTCTAGACCCTCAACCCTAATATAGGGGCCTGAATAATTAGAATAGGGTTTCGGGGCCCATTATAATAAGGAACCCCCAAAACAGTATAGGTCATTATCGAAGCCCCCATAGTAGCCCCTGAGCTTGGTGAGACCGAATCGAAATTCCGAGCCTCAACCCCGGACCCTGAAATTGGCCCGGAGCAAGGAACGCACGAAGATTCGGATGTTAACTTTTACTTTGGGGGGAAATATCTATTTCTCGAGCAGGCGGTACCCGAAAGCTGAAAACCCACGGCAAGAAACAGTCAACGGAAAAAAGCCGCCGCTCTGAATGCTGAAGCATCCTCCATCATGTCAACACGTAAGCAACAAGGCTCAACCCTCGACCACACGGCTTCGTTTCCGTGCTGGTCTGTTAAAAAATCCTAGAACCCCTAAACCCTAAACCCTAAAATTACCTCTTTAAACCCTAAAGCCCTAAACCCTGAACCCTTTTTTGCATCAGGACTTGCGCAATCGCCTAAACCCTTAACCCTAAACCCTAAATTTCTTAAATCCTAAACCCTGAACCTGCTACTGCTAAGCTAGCAGACTAGGGCCCCGGGATACGACGAAGGGATCAAGGCTCAGCTGCCTGCATCCTGGAAGTGTGCTTCCAAGATGATCTTCTCTAGGAGCCTGATTTCGGTTAGGCTTTTAGGGTTTAGGGTTTTAGGGTTTAGGGTTTAGGGTTTAGGGTTTAGGGCTTAGGGTTTAGGGTTTAGGGTTTTTCGACTTTAGGGGTTTGGGTTTAGGATTTAGGGTCTAGGGGTTTAGGGTAGAAGACAAACAACTCTGGAGAACAGTATATATATATATATTGAACTCAGAACACTTCGGATAAAATTGACAACCTCACTGGAAGATGAGTCAGACTGATCATATCACGCTGTGTGAGCAGTATTATTACCACTCATTATTGCTATTGGCAGCGTTGCTATTACTCTTATTAGTGGTAGTATTCAAACTATGAACAAAAGGGGCCATGCCTGAGCTTGCAGGGGCGATGCTTCCGGCTGAGGCATGGAGGGCAAACAGCACTAAAAGAAAAGGAGCCGATAATGCCAAAAGCCCAAGCACTCGTTTCAACTGGGACAAGCTGGGCCTAAGAACTAGTTTAGGGTTTGGGGCTTAGGGGCCCAAAAACTCGTCTTGGGCCCCTTTTTGAGAACTGGAAGCCCAAGTGCTATTAGGGTTCCGGGTTTCATGGCTTTCGAGCTAAACTCTACGACCTCAAAGCCCGGTCAACTTGGAATCCAAAACAGCCAAACCTCTTCAGAGTCGGGTTTGTCACCTGCAGCCCATGGCGGAGACGTGCCACTGCTGTATGCCGACGGGGAATGCTATCTTGTTCTAACTGCTGCATACGGCCCTTTATCCCCGCCGGCACTGACCCGTCCGGCCCTCCACCCTGAACCCGTAACTAAAGCCTAAACCGTAAACCCTGAACCCTAAACCCTAAACCCTAAACCCTGAACCCGTAACCCTACACCCTAAACTCTAAACCCTAAACCCTGAACCCGGAACCCTAAACCCTGAACCCTGCACCAGTAACCCTAAACCCTAAACCCTGAACCTGTTACCGTAAATCCCTCTCTTGGCGCTCAGGTTTGGGGCTTCGGGCGACATCCCGCAGTCTTCAACACTACAGCCCCAAGCAAAGCCCATCTGCTAGGAGCCTTAATAAGAATAGGTTGTCGGGGTATAAAATAGTATAGTTATACTTGGGAACCCTCAGGAACAATATTATAGTAATATGTAGGGAATATTCCGGCTTCTGTATTGAACTGATTTTGAGGCCCTGTGCCCTCATTGAGTGGGACATCCCAAACCTTGAACCTCAAACCCTATACCCTCATAGACTGTAACCTATAGAGTAGGACTTCGGCCATTTGGACCATTTTGGACCTCTTGATGTAGCTGCTGTTCCTTCCGGGAAGTACCTAGTATTCCGAAGTAAGTTATTTAGAGAAAAGTACCAGCATGAAGGGGTCTAGGCAGAGTTATTGGATAAAACCGGAAGAGCACAGCTTACAAAATGGACATTGGCTCGGACATTTCATGTTCGAGGTTGTGCAACCAGAACGATCAACTGATTCCTTGATGCACGCTGTAGAGTGACGGTATATTCCGCATCACGATCTCGCAGTCCTTCATGTATACCTATCCTGTCCCGAGGTTCGGCAGGTTGGGTCCTGGGACTTGTCTTGGATATCGGGCCGTCAGCTTGAGAACACTGAAGCAGAAGGCGGCACGCTTTAGGGCTTGAAAAGAGCAACCAAAACCTCGACTCCCTCCGAGCAGCTCCGCCATCTGACGCTGGGAAGCGACCTCAAGGGTTCATGAGTTTTCGAGAATTAACACCATCAAGCGGTGTGTTCCCAATTTTCGTGGCCCAACAGTAGGTAACCTGATCCTTGCTAAGCCTGCTTGCATGGAGAGCAGAGGCACTTCGGAAGTCTGGGCTTGGGCTTGAGGGCTTGGTCCTAGCTTCATATGTATGAGGGCCGTGCAGCCCTTCCAGGATCTTGGTGACAACATCGTCTACGGAGTCGGGGTTTCAGATTCAGAGTGTGGAGTTCAGAGTTCGGGGTCTCCCGCTTTGCTATCGACACAACAGGCTGCATCGCTGCACAAACCTTCGCGACTCGATCACGCCTCAACCCGGAGGACAAGGCTTCACTTGCTCAGCGTTGCACCCGGCGTTGTGCAGCTGGGCCAGCGATTCTGCTAACACATTGAAGCGCTAGGCTTTTAAGCCCTGTCTCCTAAACCCAGATTCAAGTACTCTCATGGGAACCCTCTCGGGCCATGCCTCATGCCGCACGCGTGCGGGCAGCTGCTTCTTCGTATTGCGCTTCCAGACCTCAGCTGCGGCGTCCGAGACTTCGTCTTCGGACTGCGTGCTTGTCGGGTCTCAAGAATTCTTTTTTTCTGGAGCCCCATGGATTTCTCAAGTGCACTGAGGGCTAGGACTAGGAGTGCGCAACTTTGTCCTGGCTGGCATCTATCTTGGTATCTTTTCCGGACGCCCATATGTATCCACGTAAACGTTTGTGTTGGGCCGGGATGACACCCGTCTGTCTCTCTGCAAGGGTCTTGCAGCACCAGCTCCTTCTGTCACCCACCGACCCACCCACCAGCCAACCGCGACCGGAACCGAAGCTTTAGCCCCGAAAAACACTAAACCCCAAGCCCTAGACTCCTAGACTTAAACCTCAAAGCCGTATGCATCCAGGCGGCCCCAAAGGATGCACTCCCGGGTGTTTGTGGAAACGACTCGCTGCCTGCTGTGGGGTTTTGTGGTCTCGGCATCGTTTTTGCTTCAATCAGGGGTGGTGTCTAAGTGTGGGATACTAGGGCCACTTAGGCTGAGGTATCGAGCGCTCCAGGTTAGCGGCTCTAAACCTAAGCCCTGCGTCTGGGGCTCTGATCCTCTGGACAGAGTCTTTCGGCGATTGTGGCTGTCAGCCCATCCCAGGATCAGTGTTCAAAAAGGGGCCGTAAGAACTGGGATAAGGTTTCGGGGCATATCATGCAGAAATGTATGGGGGACGATGACTCATGACTCTTCGGCCGACTGCAACGACTCGTCTGCAGCGGCGGAGCAGGAGACGGGGAGATCCTGGTGGCTTCTCGAGCTTAGATTTTGAGGTCGACCGGCGAAAATGCTGGAGGCCTTCTGGATTGGGACGTGTTTGCGAAAGTCAACCTTAGTTTGCCTGCCTGAGCTGACGCAGGTTGCCTGGTAGAGGGGTCACTTCGAGTACCCCTAGCTCAATGTGTGAGCTTGAGTTGTCACCCAAGACCCAGAGCCATCAAACAAACCTTCACCTCCCAAAACCCAACTCTCTGGGCCACAAGCTCAATTCAAGCCCGGCCCTAAACCTTAAGCCTTGCAGCCTTCAATCCCGAAACACTGTACCCCTCAAGCTTCTGGGCTGCCTAGCACGGAGAAGCAGGGCGCGTCCGAAGTGCTGGTGTCTGCCAGGGGCGTTAAAGCCCACCCATGGCCTGCCAGGGCTTCGGAGACTCCAGACAATGCAGGTCTAAGTCGGAGACGACGTCTAGCTAAGGCTGCAGGAAGCCTGCTTTCTAAGGATACGGAATGAGCCAGCATCCAGGCATCCAGGAGCCTCGACCCTAAGCTTTTCTGCCAATAAACATTGTAAGCCAATCCCAAAGCAAACCCGAACCCTCGGCTCGCAGCCCCGCAAGACCTAAACTTGTTCGTGCATACTCCAACCTCGCCGGCGCCAAGCTGCTGAGCCCTCGAGTTTAACACCCACTCTGCGACTGGTGCTACTATCGCTGCTGGCTTAATTTTCCGGACCCGGCAATTCGTTGGTCGGCCGTCTAGAAGCCGCGCAAGATTCGCCCGGATTTTGCGGTTTGTATCTTCCTTTCCGCGAATGGTCAATCGTAACTGAGTCGAACGGTTGGGCGGGGCTGAGAATCGGACTAGGAGTCCGGATTCTGCTTCTGCCAGTTTTCTTACCACTGCTGCTGTAGTCTGCATCTTCGTGCTTGTCTTCTCAGTGGGACCGGGCGTGGTTGTGGTGGTGGTAGTAGAAATCGGCCTTATGAGAAATAGCGGCAGCAGTAATAAATTATTATGATCCCGACTCCTGACCCGACTAGCAGCTTTAACCCCCAACCCCTAAATCCCGACACAACTCCGAAAGTCGGCAAGAGTTCCTCGGCTCGGCGGCGTGGGACTCTTCGGGGACCGCCGAAATCCGTTAGAGCTGCCCGGCGTGGGGGTACGGCTGAACCTTGTGGCAGTTAAGTTCCTTTCAGGGGCTTTATAAGGGTTACAAGAAGGAGACACTGTCAAGGTTTCTTTCGGATTTCGGATGTCTGCTAAGGGCTTGTGCAAGGAGTTCAAGGTTGGCAGGGGGCTGGGCTGGGTTATGACCCAGACTCATAAGCCTTGACTCCTGAACCCGCTGCTAAAGGCAACGTGAACGAATTCCATAAGCCTACAGTAGGTAGAGCCTCATGGACATTTGGAAGCCGGGTAGAAGCCGGGTTGTAAGCTTCGCGATTTCGACACGTACGCTTGCACGAGGCAGGCACGGATTCATGACTCGAGGCAATGCTACTTTGACGCTTCTACGCTGACACTCGAAGCAAATGAAAACAATGGAGTCCCTAAACCCTAAACCCTAAATGTGAGAACCTAAGACCCTGGAGCACCACGGCGCAACATAGCAGCTTCGCGCATCACCAGGAAGCCGGGCATTCTATGCCAAGAGTCGAGACCAAAACAAGTCACTGCAAAGAAATGCAGGAGATGCACCCACAAAAACTACATAGAGTTTGATAACACGACAAGCCCACAGGCCGCCATTCCCAGCTTACTACCCGTATATAATGTGTGGCCTCTGCGTGCGGCTTTTGCCGGGCAGCTCTCCTCTAGTCAATCTACTCAGCGACAGCTACATGTCTACAAGCTGCAGCTCCATGCCCGGTGACGTGTCATGCGGACAATCGTCTCAGTTCCGGCCTAAATGAGTCCCAAACACCTACGCCTACGCACCATGAAGCTCCTGGTCCTAGACCTTCAACCCGATCGCCCTTTCCCCCAAAAGAGCGATCAGATTCAATCCTTATGCCCCAACCCCTTCAGCCCAAAGCCCCTAAACCTTAGACCATCAAACCCTAAACCCTAAACCCAAACCCAAAACCCTAAACCCGAAACCCAACACCGATTCCCAGCGGCATCATCTGCTTCGCAGATCTGGTGCTCGGCGACGCCGCTGTCGACCGCGGGCTGGGGGTGCCTTCAGGGCCCAGAGGTTTAGGGTTTAGGGTTTAGGATTTTTAATATCATCTTTGTTTCTAGTTTGTATTACATTTACATTGCGTTATACGACTGTATATACAGTTCTACTATCTTTCACCATATTGTAGTAAATCTTGTTATCTAGTGTTATGTTCTATTACATTACATTACATTAAATTACATTTATTGTATAAAGGTTTTTGTTGTATTTAGTTATCTTAGCTAAGGTTGTATACTGCCACTACATTATGTTTTATTGTGTTATATTAACGTATATTTAAGTGTTTTATCTTCTGCTATAATATGCTATGATCCGTTCTGCTGTATAAAGTTCTACTATGTCACACTGCCTTATGTCATATTATCTGCCATGCACTATAAACTATACATCTTGCAGTATATAAATATCTCAATGTTTATGCATGCATGCATGCATGCATGCATGCATGCATGCATGTATGTATGTACGTATGTATGTATGTATGTATGTACGTATGTATGTATGTGTGTACGTGTGTATGTATGTATGTATGTATGTATGTATGTATGTATGTATGTATCTATGTATGTATGTATGTATGTATGTATGTATGTATGTATGTATGTATCTATGTATGTATGTATGAATGAATGTATGTATGTATGTATGTATGTATGTATGTATGTATGTATGTATGTGTATGTGAGTTTTATAGACAGTATGTTATAAGTTGTATGTCGTAACACTACAGGTTGCAGTGTCACTTTGATTCCTGCCGTGACTCCATGGTCACTGCATGTTTTTCTGACTTCATCTTGCTCGAACAGCTCAACTCGACAGCCTCGGGTCCACCGGACAAGAGGGAAAACGATTTCTATCATCCTAACCCAAAGCACCCCCAAAACGGGACCTTCTATCACCCTATACTCTAAACGCCAAAAGGCTGTTCCAAACCTTGAACAATTAGCCCAAGGAGGCAGAGAAGGGATTTTTCTTATGCGCTCGACCCCGATCACGGAAGCCCTTACAGGCGTTACTAGTATAACATCACATTACCTCATACCATAGCATATAATGTGGTTATCAAGAGTACTAACCAGTTGAATCGATACCGAAGAAGGCATTGCTATCTGAGCAGCTTATGTTCACAAGCTTTGTGCCCCAGACACCATTTCCAACCCTCTGCACGGTCCGACACCACAGACAAACTATGACAAACTCGTGCCTCTCCATGGAACATCCCACATCAGCACGCGGCAGAAGCCCCGAAGGCCAAACGGTTTGCAAATGTTAGCGGGGCCTGAGGGATTTCGAACTTTCGTGACTCAAGGTTGGATATGGGCTCCGATGGATGCGGGCTTTAGCGCCAGAGTTTAGGGCTTAAGGGTTTAGAGCCCTGGGCGTAGACGTTTGGGCTACGGCTGAGGGTCCGGGACTCATGCTGCGTGCCTTGTGCACGCACGCTCTGGAGCCAAACTACAGCATTGCACAGTGAGGCTGCGACACCGAAACTACCTAAACCATTTAAGCCAACACCCAAAAGCCCAAACCCCTACCTTAACTGCCATCGTCGGCCTTTTTGTGTAGGGTCCCTATCGTTTCTATATTGCGTTTTCTCTAAGCATCCCAAGCCCCTGACGGATTCCTGACCAAGCCGAGCCCTGCAAGCGAATTCATCCAGGAACCTTTTTGCCACTCACTCTCGGCAGAGCCAAGTGAGGGACTTTGGAATGCGCGGAAGTAATGTAGGGGCCTGAATACTTAGAATAGGGTTTTGGGGCCCACTATACTATAACTATCATAAGGAACCCCCAAAATAGTATTGGTAATTGTTTAGGCCCCTATAGTAAAGGAAACGCGGCTTTTTGCTGACACTCAAGGCTGGTTTAGGGTTGAGGCATGATTAGGGCTTCAGGGTTTATCTTTCAGTGATTCAGGGTCCCTCCGTCTCACTTCTTCAAGATACTCGCGCTCGGATGGTCTCTGGTCCCTACATTCCAAGACGCTGGTGCCGTCAGAGTTACTGGAGAGAAACTGAACCCCTTGAGTTCGGTTCGGGGGCTTCTGAAATTTTAATTAAAATATCAGATGTCATATGATAGTAGACTACTGTACTATATACTGAAATATTGTACAAACACGATATATACTGCAACATGGCGTTTCTAAGCGTGTCTACCTGTCCACCTACTTACTTGTGCGTTGGAGGGCCTGAGTTCCAAAAACACGGGCAGATACGCACTGGCCATCGTTAACTTAGGGTTTTTTCCGTCTCGTATTGCTGAGAAACTATGCTTAGGGTTTAGGGTTTAGGGGTTTTGGGTAACAAAAACCGACCTGCACGAGCAGCAGTTGCACAGTCAATGCCGACTAAACGAACCACGAACGTAAACTCTAAACGTTTCTGAACCCGCGCGCCTCGGCTACATGAAAAAACCCGAAACCTAATGCCGAGATCTTCAAAAGTCTCCTGCCCGACCGGCCGGGCTTCGTGGTTGCGACCAGCAATCAATGCCTCACCGGGGACAGCCCTACATTACAGTAGGCCTCCCGCCCACGGATTGTCGTTCCAGGCAACCCTTCCACGAGCTCAAAAAAGACACGCGGGTTTCGATGAGGACAGCTCCCAGGCCCTGATCCTAAAACGCGCACTCATGCTTGGATGTCCAAACCACATCGAAGCCAATCTCTAACCATCACCGATTGATACTCATATGAACGATAGCATTGAGGGTGCCGTTGCTCCAGGGGTTTAATGCGGCTAGACACAGACCCTTCGCTTCAACATCTATATTCTTGTGTTGCTGTCTGGGGGCTATCATGCTCGTACGCTTTTTTACCACTGGGTTCATGATCTTGGTGGTGAATGTAAGCCGCCCATCCCAAAACCGAGACCCGATATTCTACAGGCCGAACACCCAACCTCAAGCCTCAAAGACTCGTCCCTAAAACCCTCAAAAACCCACACCTGAAAAGCCCTAAGCCGTAAGCTCGGCAGCCCTCAGGCCAAAAGACCCCTAAATCCGAAAAGGCCGTGAGGAGGCTTAAACTCAAAGCCCCTCCGCCACAACCCCGAAGCCCCGGAGCGCTGAACGACTCGAGCCATCCCTGAGTTGCTCGCTTCGTAGGTCAGGGGATCACTCCACCTCGGGGTTGAGCCGAAGTGAACTCCAAGTGTGTACGGTAAGGTTCAAGGGTTGCGGGTTTAGGATGGATACAATGAACGAGGAAGAAACGGAGCTCCGAATCTCAAGCAGGACCGAAACACTACAATCGTCAACACTATGAAAAGTGGGAAACTCTGCCCAAGAAGATGTCAGGTCGAACGTGACTCCTTTCTGTGGTTCGGCCCGTTGTCTGGCGCCATCCACCTCCTCACAAGTTAGCCGCGCTGAGAGTGCGGCTCCTCGAGGTTTCCATAGGTGGCATAGGTGAAGATAACCTGGCGGCTTCGCACATGCTCAGAAGTGCTTGTGGTGTCGGGCTCGGGATTGGGTAAGGCATGAAAGTGCTGCCTGCCACGATGTTGAGGGTTGCATCATTTAGTTGCGGCACATTTTGCCTTGGTACATCTCAGCGCGCATCATTGCGTTATAAGCCAAAATAAAAGAGCATGGCAGCAAAGCCCCTGCGCCTGCGCCACCCCGTTCTCAACCGTTATTGCGTATTCCTCAGCCAAACCTAACCTCCCGACTCCCGACTCGCGAACACAGCTCCCGTTCTGATTCCCGTCAGTCTGTTTGGGGTTTGGGGTTTAGGGTTTAGGGTTTAGGGTTTAGGGGTTTAGGGTTTAGGGCTCCCTCTCTCTCTCGGGCCTAAGGGTCCCAACCGCTTTCGCCGGCTGCTCGCATGCCAACTGAAGCCCCAACACCACCCCACCGCTTTCCCCGAGATGCCGAACACACCAATCAATTGCCATGTAACGCCACTGTAGGTGTTGTTTGTTCTCTCTCTCTCTCTCTCTCTGCTCTGTTTCTGCCTCTTTGGTAGGCCATTGACACTTACAGTTTTGCTGTCGTGCTTGTGCCCCAGCACCAGGCTTTCACCACGGCAATGCGGCTGTGCAGTGCAATCAGAAGTCCTCAGCTTTGTGCTCTGGTTTTCGTATTGCCTTTTTCACCTATCCTGCTGTGGCCGATTGAAAAGAAGCGCTGCCTGTCTAGACATGGACCCCCAGCCCCCCAATGGCGCCGGGCGGACGGGAATGTTGGCCAGGAAGAAGAGGAGCATCACAGCGCTGGCGGATGTGGGTTTCGCAAGTTTCATGCCAGGGACTCGGGGGAGTGACGATTTCGGGATCTACTAGTAGCGCCAACCCACCTCCTAGAGCCAGTGAACCGGTTTCGCCCCAAGTGGGGGGGATGTTCTTACTTCAAGAATCCTAGGGGTATCTGTGCAACTGCTGGGCTTGCATGGACTCCACACAACTCGCCCATCCCCTCGGAGAATCAACTTCCGAAGATGGGGAACCCCTCACGACACCCCCTAGAGCCCAGAGAATAGAGGATTGCTGCGATGATCATCTCAAGGAAGGCCGGGAGGCCCTCTACTTCAGGGCTCCGCGGCGGAAGTTGCACAAAGTTTCAGACGAGCACGAGCTTGTGTTATTAGGTGACCAGGTCCCACTTCCGAAGGGCCCTGAGGTTTGGGCCAGTTTGGGGTTTATACCTTAACCTACCAAAACCCACTTTTTTGTAGGTTCTTATTAAAAGCCCTAACATCGAATTTATAGGGACCCTGCAAAAATAGTAGGTTCTGGTGGGTTAAGGTAGACTTCAGGGCTTGCGTTGTTTTGGTGGGATCCGCAGCTCAGGCCTCCGCTCCAGTCCTGTCCCGAGCTGGAGCCGGAGGTGCGATGGCTTTGTCAAATATCATTACTAGTAATCTTATGATTTTTTTATGAAAAAAAGTAAGACTGTTATGATTCATGTTAGTATACTAGTACTATTCGGATTTTCATTAGTATAGCAGTACTCTTTTGATTCTTATTAGTATACTAGTACTCTTATGATTCTTGCTAATATAATAGTACTATTACGATTCTTATTCGCAGACTAGTACTCTTATGATTCTTATTAGCATAATAGTACTATTATGACTCTTATAAGTATACTAGTACTCTTATGATTCTGAATAGTAAACTAGTACGTTTATGATTCTTATTAACACATTAGTACTCTGATGATTCTTATAAACACAATTGTACTCTTATAATTCTTATCAACATAATAGTACTATTATGCTTCTTATTAGTAGTATGATTATACCCTAAACCCTAAACCCTAAACCCTAAACCCTAAACCCTAAACCCTAAACCCTAAACCCTAAACCCTAAACCCTATGTTTCATGTTTCGGCTCTTCGCTCCCGAACCCCGCTCGGATTTGCAACGAACACCGAGACCCGAGCTAGACGTAATGTAGGGGCCTTAACAGTTAGACTAGGGTTTTTGGGGGGGTTCCTTACGATAATTATAGTATAATGGGTTCATATAGGGCCCTTAATCATTAGAATAGGGTTTTGGGGGCCCTCTAGGCTATAATCATAACAAGGAGCCCCCACAATAATATAGGTATTTATTTAGGCCCTAAACCCTAAACCCTAAACCCTATAGTAGACAAAGCCCCCGGCATCATGAAGCGCAGGACATAGAAGTAGAGGACCCAGCCGGCACCTTGATGGAAGGACATTAGGGTTTAGGGTTTAGGGTTTAGACGCTGTAGGATTGAGAATCAGCTTGGCATGGCTTGGACATTTCGAGTGTCTTGGGCTCTAGGCTGGAGCTTGTCCTCGTTCTCATGGCTTCGTTCGCTTGTGCAGAGCTTCACGTGGGCTCATTGCGGGCATCTTGTAAGAAGCTCCTCATGAGACACATTGGCCAAATACGTGCCCTGAGGCTTAGGCCCCCTGCGCCTGGTCAACAGACCACTCCGGCTGCTATAAATGGGGCCAGTGGTGCATCGAAGCTCAGCCCGCCACCAAGCTCGCTGAAGTCCATCAACCTGGAGAGCTTGAAGCGGTACTGCGCTCCGGGGAGCCACACTGAGAACCAGAGCTGCAACAACTACTACATCAACAAGAAGGGCAGCACCAGCATCGGAATCTGCAACACCATCGCCACCACTGCACGGCTCCAGCCATTACCACCTGTATGCCCATCTTCGCCAACTAGAAATCTTCGGGCTCAGGTCTCGGAGGGAACACGTGTCACTTGGCCCTCCACGAGCGAAACACAACATGACCCTGCCTGCCTGCAACCCCCCGTGTCTTGAACTGCCCGCCCAGGCATCACCACACTTAGATAAACGTCTTTTTGTTGCCAGCTCTGCTGCACGACACGCTTTGACCGCTGCGCCGCTGGCATTTTAGCCGACGGGCATGAAGCCGAGGCAGCTGCTGTTGCAGACTTTTAAAGTCCAGGTTCTGAGGCTTTGGGCTTGGAGTCTGGGGTGTGGGGGTGCAGTTACGGCTTGGGATAACGGATTAAGAGAAGGGGCCACCTGCTCTTGATCTGGAGTGGTCTATCTTCTGACGAAAGTTGTATGACCAATATCACTCTCAGCCACAGTATACCAGCTCAGCTCCTGAGCAATAGCCCCTTGCAGTTCACAGGCATCCACCAAAAACAAGTTGCATCTACATTCATGGTGGCCCAGGCTCATTCCCTCAGCATAATCCTTGGGTTTTGCTCCATGGGCGAAGCTTGGAACCCATTGATATCGGCATTACTTGGGGAGAAGACCCCTTTGCAGCAGCAGGGGCCGTTCTACCTTCTGCGACGCACTCCACGAAGGCTCCGGCAGATTGGAATTGGCGCAAGCGGAATTGGAGTTTTCGCGCAAAGTTTGTTCACGGCTTCGCGGTTACTCTACTGTTGGCGCCTTAGCGAAGTTCACGAATCAAAGTTCCAGGATCTCTGAACACCCGCGAAAGGCAGCAGCCAGAAAGAATGGACTTCGGGGAGATGCTTAAGCCCTACTATAAGCCCCAAAGGCCGCAAAGGCTAATTTCGAAGAGCACTGCGACGATGCATAAACCCAGGAGAGAAAAAGAAGAGAAAGCAGCAGCACATTGGTAATGGTCTTCTTCCTCTTATCCATATTTCTGTCACTATCCTTACTGCACTATTCTTCTTAGCATGTCTTGTACTATTACTCTTCTTCGCCCCGTTTGACTTTCTATATGCCATCACAAGGGACTCGGAGAACCCGAGACTATGACGGTTGATCTGCAGCGTTAAAGTTTGGGCGTTTGAGCTCCGGCTCGTCCCTGGCCCTGGTCCTCCGGCGGTTGCTTCTGGTCCCGTGGTTCTTGTTGGGTTTGCGTTTTTGTAGGGTTTAGCGTTTAGTGTTTGGGGTTTAGGGTTTAGGGTTTGGGGTTTAGGGTTTAGGGTTTGGGGTTCAGGGTTTAGGGCCGTTGCTAGCGTACTGCCAAGATTGCTGCATATGCTTTCCCAGGCAGCGATGACATTGCATGTTCTGTTTCCAGTTCCCAGACATGCAGAAAAGAAGAACGCCCGAAGCCGGCCTTTAACAAAAGAAAGGCCTGGCTGGAGGTTTATTCGGTTTAGGCTCAGTTCGTGGTCTTAATTAGTCTTGAGCCTAGTTTCTGAAAGCATAGGATCAGCAGAGCCGATCGGCTGAAGCCTCCCCGGAGTTGAAGTTCCAGACGCGTGCATGGCATCTCTGAATTTACCTGGGTAGAAGGCCTCGGTGACATGACAAAGCCTTAATGTAGGGGCCTTAATAATCAGAATAGGGTTTTGGGGCCCATTATACTCTAATCATAATAAGGAACCCCCAATGTAGTATTGGTAATTATTTAGGCCCCTAAAGTACCGTTGGGTGGTGCAGCGGTCCCCAGCTGCCATGAGCGACTAATTAATTTGCTTCCTTTTATCGCAGACTCTCCAAAATCTTCAGGTCGCTTGCGTAGAGCAGCAGGATCGCTTCATCATTCTGAGCCCCAAAATCATCCGAAACTGGATCCATCCGCAGCCTTACGCCCTGAGCCCTGCGCTTTCCACAAGCCTTGGACCAAGGCCCCTTAAGCCAATGCCTAAACCCTGAAGACCGCAAGATCTCATTTCAGGGGCCTTGATATTGTTTGCAGGGTGTAAGGGTTTAGGGTGTGGGGGCCTTCACATCTAGAACAGGGTTTTGGGGTATAGAGGTTTAATTTAAGGGACGATATGGGGAGTAGGGTTCTGCGATGTGTTCTGCTATACGTCTGTAGGGCTTACATAAATGAGGGCACTGTGAATAATCATTCCGACACCTCTCTTTTCAATTGGCCGAGAAGTTCTGCTGCCCGCTACCCAGGCCAGGACTCCTCTTGAATTACTACAGATACTACAGGTGCCCAATGCAGAATCGCAGGGCCATAGTTGCCACAAGACATGGCTCGTGCCCTAGACCGGGTGAGGCATGGGGTTGAGGGCTTATGGTCTGGGGTTGCAGCGCAAAGCCCTACGGATTTAGCTGCTTTCGCAGCTCACCTGAAGGAGACAGCTGCTGCACCTGTCAACACAGGTGAAAAGATGGCTTCATACAGCGGCCTGGGTCATTGGAATGGGGTTGTGGAGCAGGTTATGCTACTCTCAGCTGTACATCTTGAGCAGCCGTTTGCATCGACCGGCAGTATCTGAATTCTAACCACCGACACCCGCTCTAGAAATCCAGACCTCGACTCACGCAAAAGATTGCAGAATTGCTACAGCTTTCCCTTTTGTTACAAGTTAATTCACACTGGGCCACTCCAACTGCGCACTGCATAGGCCAACAACTGGCATCCACAGGGGCCTACACCAAGTCTCCTGCAGCAGGTGGCGGTGGCAGAATGACATCGTCAGGCTCGCTGTCCCTCATCGCCACCCCTGGAGCAGTCCATTCGAATGCCCCAAATTTGGCCCAAAGCAGAACGGTGCATCATCGTAACATGCACCAATAGAAAAACGTTTTAGATGCATGGCACGTAGAAAGCAGTCGATGTCGGAACATGCTAGAATGGAACATGCTACCGGCGAAAAAAACCACTGTACAGTAGGAAGCACCCACACAAGACGGAGACTGCACACATGTTGGCCATAAGAGTTCAACAGCAGGTCCTTACAGCAAGACGGCAACAAGATATAACCCTGAGCCATGAACGTCAAGCCACGCCCAAACTGAATTGACACAGTCTCATGACAAGACAATGATAGATAACGAACACGCGTAACCCTCTAACACCTACTAGTTGATCATCAGCATGCAAGGACCTCAACTT